ACTCCTTTAAATTAACCACAAAGTCCCCTCGTCTCTCCTAAAAGCCAAATTGCAATCAGAGTCTCTTGATCACCGAGACTGTTTCACGAATATGCAGGAGTAATCCCATCCTATGAGCGCGTTTCACATCATACTGCACTGACATCTCCAGGGGCTATCTTCGAAAAGGCACGAAATAAGGCCTTGGGCTCACCCGGAACTAGCGTTCGCGAGTCGCGCATTTAGGCACAGCCCGTTGCGCCGATTCTTATGGACCAATTTGCAAGATGTGTAGCTCGGCGCGCATGATTTCCCCAGCGGGGAACTGGGCTAGGCCTCTTCCGCTGTGAATAAATAGGGCAGCGCCAGAAGGCGAAATTCTCCGTACTCTGGCAGTATCATCCCTCTCCTTACGAACCTCCCCTTGGCGCGATACTCTGGTAGTATCCTTCTGTGACGACCTCTCTTGCATATTACGATTTCTTCACGCCGAAACGTTATTTGATGATGCCGTCTGTCAGGTCGCTGTTTTTTGTCCTGCTCGCTGCTGTATCAGTGCTCGCCGCGCCCGTCCTGAAAGAGCGGTTACGTAGCGTCAATGTTTGTGGCGTCCGCTTCAAGACGGGCGACGTGCGGGACAAGGCGCCGCTTAACTCGGTATATTCCCTCGAAAACAAGTCGGACGTCAATAAGGAGACGAAAAGCAAGGTTAGTGCTAGTCACGGTCTCAGTCATCACAGGACTTTTTTGATCAGCGACATGAAGAACGATGTCAAGAAAGATTACGCCGTCGGTAGGTGGACATCTTTATACATGCTCCCAAAGCTCACTACGAATTCTCAGACCATGTTGTCGAGGTTCAAGTGCTGCAGAAGGTCGCGGACAGCTCTAAACTTTGCGGCGTGCTCAATAAAATGCACGATGCTGACAAGTCCAAGACACAGAAGTCGATGCTGCAGCCTGCTTTCGACACTCTAAATAGCTCACCTAACCTCTTCTTCCTCACGAAGAAGGTCCAGAGTAGGGTAAGCAAGTTGAAAGAGTGCAGTGGACATGGAGTCGCATCTAATCAACGTTCCGCCCGTACAGAAAAAGACGGTGACTCAGAAGGTGCTGAAGGGGAAGAAGCAAGATTCAAAGGACATGGACAAGGCTGTCGGCAACTACTTGAAGCAGGTCGGCTCTTCTGGTACAACGGTCGCTTCGTTACTGGACGAGGAACTGGCCGACATTATCAGCATAGCTAAGGGTGTTGCCAGTAAGGCATCTAAAGACAAGGCCGACAAGCTCAACAAGGCTATTGTAAGTATTACGATCCCGTTTATAAGAGTCAATTTACGTAGTGCTGACCTTGCTCTTAAGGGCGCCTACCAGTCATCGACGACTGTGAGCAGCATGTGGTCGAAGGAGCTCCTCGCCTTGTAAGCATCAAGTAGAGGGTCTAGGAAAATTAGGATTTCTCGACATACTACTATTGATGCGATGGCTTGAAGCAACGTGAGGCTGGTTGTACCAATAGAGGATGAAATTGAAAGTCAAATGCCAGCGCCCGATGCAGCTTGCGTTGCGCTCCGATTTTCTCACTGCGTATTGAGCTTTCTCGTACTACGGACTCGTCATAATTGTCACATCGTTTTCTGCCTTATTATTCCACTTCTGATCTGCTTCACTTGTCGATCCAAAGCTGTCACGAGCAAAGGGATAATACAAAGGCAGAATGGCTGTGCAGCTCCCTCTCGCAGACCCAACCCCAGAGGAGCCCTCACAACCTGGCCAGTTCTCGTCGCAGCAGCCGCCCCGCACGCAGCCCACGCCACCCCCATCTGTTACGAATGCGTTCGTCCCTGTCCCATCAATATCAAACACTGCCCAAAGCCACGCTGCACCCCCCTCAGGCTTTGCGCATTCATTCCCAGTTCAGAACTTGACAAGCATGCAGCCCACGCAGAACCCGCCTCCACCGCCTCCACCCACGCAACAGCAGCCCTCACCGCAGAATCCGAACCCAGAAGCTGAAGTTGCGAAGATATGGGGCGTGTTGAATGAGCTGTTGGAGCAGCTATCAGCGAATAGGCAAGCATCCATACAGCTACACTCCTTGGCGGCGGGGGTTAAGGTGCGTCACAAGGTGCCGTGCCAAGGTAGTCACTAACAGCGTGCAACAGAGCCAAGCCATACATTCGCAGACGGGCTATGTGCTCAGACGGTATGTATCGCTTCTTCCAACTTCTCTCGGGCCAATCATTTAGACTGACGCAGGTCCTGGAGTTCAGATACAACCTCGACAGAACACAAGGTTGGTTCTTGGCAAAGTCAGCGACTGTATATAGCTCTAACTCGCGTGTGTATCGTGACAACAGACGAGTACAACGCGGCACTGGAGAAGATGAACGCTCAAATGACCGCAGAGAACACTGTGTTAGTGAACGAGAACAAGCAAATGGGGACGCTCATCAAGGAGTATGAGCAAACTCTTGAGAACGTCATGGCTGGGTTTCGCGTTAGAGCTGTACGTAACGCTTTCGAGCTGTGAGATTTCGCTCACTCGCCAGCGAACAGAACGAAGTCCAGCAGCGTGAACTGTCTATCATGCGCGAGTACGAACGGAAGCTGCTCACCATCGAGACGGCGCAGCTGCAAGCCTCACTCGCGCAGCAGACAACAGTTTCGACATCGCTCGGTCGAGTTGGCGAGCTCCTGAGAGTGCTCATGCGCGTGCTGGGTGGCGAAGATCCTAGCAGCGTCCCTACTAGTGTGCTTGCAAACATGGTCGAGGCCGAGACCGGCACCTCATCGACTGGCACAGGCTTGGGAAAGGAGGGCGAGATCGATATCACCGGCACTGCAGGACACATGACGATCGGCAGACAACCCCAGAAAAAGATCATCAACTCTTGGGAGCTGGAGGCACCCGCTTCGCCTATGCCTGGCACAACTGCCTTGCCTCCCTCGCCGTCCGATTCTAGCACGACTCTCGCTTCATCCTCAGATAGTAGCGACCCACCAGATCAAGCGCGTTACAAGGCTGATATCCTGACGGATAAAGAAGCGCAACTCCTCGCTGCCGACTGGGCTCTCGAACGCGAGTGTGAGCTCGCACGTCTCGAGCAGGAGAACGCAATGCTTCATCAACTCGTCCAGGAGCGCGAGAAGCTTAGCCGGGTCACCGCGACGAGTGATGCAGACGTGCATATCACAATGGGCGAACATGCCCTGCGGCTCGAGCTCCCCAAATACACGCTTCCCAAGCGGACGTTCAAGGGTAAGCTTGGCGGGAAGGACATCGGGCCGTATGGCATGTACAAAAAGTTCGAGGAGTAACACGGAGTGGTGGCTGCTTGGGAGGGCACAGCGGCATGTACTATTACCGTACGTGGTCATTAATATTGATACACATTCACTATCCCACGAGTGTCCTAGGAAATCGTGGCGCTGTCCTGCAACGTGCAGCACAAGCGTGGACTTCATGTTTGTAGTCGAACTGGTCTCATCCTTGCCTGGTAATTATGACAGAGGCTCCTGCTTATGTCACCCTTATGTATTCGTCATTACAGGAGTGATGTGACTGGTCTTTATCCATACAATGCTTCTCGCTTCCTGCACACTCCGCGTGGTGACCCCCTGGCCTGAGGTAGGTGCTGACTCGCATATAAAAAGCAACTGCGAGACTTCTCGCTGAGAACTAAGAATGGCTTCGAATTCAGAGCTAGAGTTAAACTCAAAGCTGCAGTGTATGCGCGAAGAATATTTCAAAGCTGTAACAGGACGAGGAAAAAAATCCCCGTCTTTCGCCGTGCTTGTTGCCCCGGACACCCTTATCTTATCAGTGCTCTTGCTACGGAACATGCCGTTCTGTCAAACCAGGGACTTTCACGCTCTTTATAGACAGTGTGCTATCCTCTGTGACTAAATCCTTTCAAGCCCGAGCTTGAGAGACGAAGACAATAAAAAGCTTCAAAACTGCGTTAGCGGACAAATTTTCCTCTTAGCACTCGTCGTGGATTGCCGGGCGCCACAAAGTATTCGATAGACGCCTTTAGCAACACAATCTCGGCAGGCTGCATCATCACTTTACTGCGTGCCTGGGAGAGCGACGTTATAGAGGAATCGAGAGGATTTGTGCAGCAAAGTCGCCATGCTTAATTTAACGAGTGCGGAAAGTGCTGCGGCTGCGCCCTTCACAGTGGCTGGAGTTAGAGGAACGACCATTAATCGAATGCACTATTGATAGGCATGTAGGAGCAGCCTAGTAACTCTGACTACAGCAGCGACTGTTTCCAGCGCAGAGCTGACTGTGAAGCTCGCAAGATAGAGGCGGGAGGAGCCTTAGAGAGCCTCTCGTCGCCGAGTTCCTGGATGTTCACGGCCTAAGATCGGCATCCGCAGCGTAAATTCACATGCCGAACGCAGGTGACAAATGTATCGGAGAGAATACTTTGTCCAGATGAACTGGAACGGTTAGCTGAGCTTCGTTTCAGCCGATGTGGCGCTCAGAGCACTGGTTTCGACCATGAAGTTGAATGCTGTGAGTAGGGAGAAGTTGGCTGCCATTAGTCAAGGCACTACGCGGGGCTGAAGAAGGTATACGATAGTTTGATATTTACGGGCACTAGACCGCAAAGAGAGAATACAGTTCAGCTAGAAGGCAAACTCCGTCTAAACGCTTTGCTGGATGCGTGCGACGATGTTGTAACGCTGTGCCACAAGTCCTACCTACGCTCGCAAAGCGGCGCAAGATGTGCTCAAGTGACATAGTCCGTGGGTCGTGCCCCCTTGTCATGGTGTCCACGTTGCGGCTATCGCTCCAATTTCCCCAAGGATCCCTATCGCATGATGCATCGTTCCCGGTTGTTTCTGGCAGTTTACACTAAGGTGGCGTTTCGGTTCGCTTTGTGCTGTCCGGAGGGTTATCGGAGTCTGAAGCATGCGCAAGCTGAACCGGCCCGGACCGGTTTGAGACCGCCGGAGCTCCGTTCGCGTGCTCGATTTGGATACAGACGCGGCATGATTGGTTCTCGCTCTCGGCGCGTCGGATCGCTTTAGACGCCGTCCCCGGAATCAAGGTGCCCTCCTTGGCTGGAATGACTCCCGCTCAGGGACTTAAGATTTTTCTCTGGCCGTCTCGTGTCTTGACCAGCGACCACCACCATCCCCCTCTGCGCCCACCCCTCGTCCTTCACCTCTATCCTCTCCTTGCACACACTACCATCGAGTTCAGGTCGCAACTCGTTCTATGGCCGCTGACTGCGATTCCACACCTCCTGTCTTACAGAACATTGACACTGAATTCGAAAACTATGCTTCGAATGGCTTCGAGGAAGTACTGCGCGACCCTTCGTCGTGGGCAGGCTCCCTGCCCGCTAGTCAGGGTCTGTACCAGAACGAGTACGAGAAGGATGCCTGTGGTGTAGGCTTTATCTGTCACATTAAGGGCGAGCAGTCGCACAAGATCGTCTCCGATGCTCGTCAGCTCCTGTGTGCGATGACCCACCGTGGGGCCACTGGAGCTGACAGTCGGGATGGTGATGGTGCTGGAGTTATGACTGGCCTTCCACACCTCTTCTTCAAGCGTGAAGCTGAGCGGGACATCGGATGCGAGCTCCCCGAGCCAGGCCAGTACGCGGTCGGCAACATCTTCTTCAAGAAAAACGACCCTGTTGGTCTGCAGAGGCAGCAGGCTGTCTTCTCCAAGCTCGCGAGCGAGCACGGCCTCCGCGTGCTTGGCTGGAGAGAGGTGCCCACGGACGGCACCATCCTTGGTCCCGCTGCCGCTAGCAAGGAGCCCGCCATACTGCAGCCTTTCATCGTCCTCCGCTCATCCTACGGTGAGGGAAATGCTCCTCGCGGCGGCGCGTTCGATTCCAAGTACTTCGAACGCCATTTGTACATTCTTCGCAAGAGCGCTACCCATAGCATGTCGGTATTTTCTCTCTTCCTTAGACGTAAGCCGGAGGCTAAAGATATTGAACTATGAAGTACGCTTGCGAAAGGATTCTACGTTTGCTCTCTTTCTTCGAAGAACATCGTGTACAAGGGTCAACTTTCCCCTCCTCAAGTGTACAACTACTACCACGACCTCAACCATGTGTTATATCGCTCTCATTTTGCTCTTGTGCACTCTCGATTCTCTACGAACACCTTTCCCAGCTGGGACCGCGCTCAACCTATGCGGTGGGCTGCTCACAACGGTACGGTTCCGACGTCATACGAAGCGCAGATATGATCTGATCACATCTTGATAGGTGAGATCAACACCGTCAGGGGAAATAAGAACTGGATGCGCGCCCGCGAAGGCGTGCTCTCATCTTCGCTCTTCGGTGACCAGCTGGATCTCCTATACCCCATCGTTGAGTCCGGCGGGTCCGATTCTGCTGCCTTCGACAACGTTCTTGAGCTGCTTGTCGTCAATGGCGTCTTGACCCTTCCTGAGGCTGTCATGATACTCATTCCCGAGGCGTGGCAGAGTAACGAACACATGGAACCCGAAAAGAGGGCCTTCTATAAGTGGGCCGCTTGTCTTCAGGAGCCTTGGGACGGGCCCGCGCTCTTCGCGTTCAGTGACGGTCGTTACTGTGGTGCCAACTTGGACCGCAACGGTCTTCGTCCGTGTCGCTATGTTGTCACCAACGAGGATATCATGGTTTGCGCCTCTGAGGTCGGCGTAGTCTACATCCCTCCCGAGAAGATCGTCGCAAAGGGTCGTCTCAAGCCTGGCCGTATGTTGCTCGTTGACACCGAGGAGGGACGCATCGTTGACGACAAGGTGCTCAAGAGGAACACCGCGTGTAAGCAGAACTTTGCTTCGTGGATCGAGACCCACATGCTCGAGGTTCCCACCATCGTGAAACGCGTCATGCGCACTCAGTCTGTCGCCCCTACCGTTGACGAGTACACTCTTAGCACCGACCCGAAGCTCCTCGCATTCGGCTACACCGTCGAGCAGCTCAACCTGCTCATGCTTCCCATGGCCACGGACGGCAAGGAGGCCCTCGGTTCCATGGGTAATGACGCGCCCTTGGCCTGCATGTCCACCCAGCCCCGTCTCATCTACGACTACTTCCGTCAACTCTTTGCGCAGGTCACGAACCCGCCCATCGACCCCATTCGTGAGGCGATCGTCATGTCGCTCGAAGCCTATGTCGGTCCCGAGGGTAACCTGCTCGAGATGAAGCCTGAGCAGTGTCACCGCATTCTCCTCAAATCTCCCATCCTTTCGATGGAGGAGATGAACGCGATGAAAGCGCTCAAATACGCGTACACAACCTGGCCATCGCGCATCATCGACATTACCTTCCCCAAGGAGCAAGGCCTTCCCGGCTACAAGCTCTGCCTTGAGCGCGTCCAAAGCGAGGCTATGCAAGCCATCGAGGACGGTGTGAAGGTCATTATCCTTTCTGATCGCGAGACTGGTCCGAGTCGCCTTCCTCTGTCCGCTCTCGTCGCTTGCGGTGGTGTGCACCACCATCTCGTCGCCCAGAAGAAGCGTGCCAAAGTTGCCCTCATGGTCGAGACGGGCGAGGCTCGCGAAGTCCAACACCTGTGCGTTCTTCTGGGTTACGGTGCCGACGCCATCTGCCCGTGGTTATTCATGGAGTCCATCCACAAGATCGTTCGCGAGGGCCTGTAAGTACTTCAGCTGTCTCGGGAATCAGCTGTACTTACACTTACTCCAGGGTCAAGAACGGGGAGACCGTCGAACAGCTCACTGATAACTACCGCCATTCCATCGACGGCGGCATTCTGAAGGTCATGTCCAAAATGGGCATATCGACTCTGCCCTCGTACAAGGGTGCTCAGATTTTCGAGGCGCTTGGCCTTCACGCCGAGGTCATCGAGAGCTGCTTCGCTGGTACGGCCAGCCGTGTCCAGGGTGCGACCTTCGACCTTCTGGCCATGGACGCTTTCGAGACGCACGAGCGTGGCTGGCCTTCTCGTGAGACCATCTTGCCTCCCGGCATGCCCGAGTCCGGCGAGTATCACTGGCGCTCCGGTGGTGAAGCCCACATCAACGACCCATCAGGCATTGCCTATCTTCAGGACGCCGTGCGCGAGAAGAATCAGCAAGCCTACGATGCGTACGCGAAGAACGCTAATGAGCAGGCGCAGGCCGTCCACCTCCGTGGTCTCCTTGACTTCCGCCTCGAGAACGCGACCCCCATTCCTATAGAGCAAGTTGAGCCGTGGAATGAGATTGTCCGGCGTTTCGTCACCGGCGCCATGTCATACGGCTCTATCTCCATGGAGGCGCACTCTACTCTCGCCATCGCGATGAACCGTCTTGGTGGCAAGTCAAACACTGGCGAGGGTGGTGAGGATGCCGAGCGCTCTCAAGTTCTGCCTAATGGCGACACCATGCGCTCTGCCATCAAGCAGGTCGCGTCCGGTCGCTTTGGTGTCACCTCAAACTACCTCGCGGATGCCGATGAACTGCAGATCAAAATGGCCCAGGGTGCGAAGCCTGGCGAGGGTGGTGAACTGCCCGGTCACAAAGTCTCCGCTTCTATTGCGCGCACTCGTCACTCGACCACCGGTGTCGGTCTCATTTCTCCCCCGCCTCATCACGACATTTACTCCATCGAGGACTTAAAGCAGCTCATCTATGATCTCAAGTGCGCCAACCCTCGCTCGCGTGTTTCCGTCAAGCTCGTCTCCGAAGTCGGTGTCGGTATTGTTGCCAGCGGTGTCGCCAAGGCGAAGGCCGACCACATTCTCATCTCCGGGCATGACGGCGGTACCGGTGCTTCTCGCTGGACTGGCATCAAGCACGCCGGTCTACCATGGGAGCTCGGTCTTGCTGAGACCCACCAAACACTCGTACTGAACGACCTCCGTGGTCGCGTCACTGTACAGACTGACGGTCAGGTCCGTACCGGTCGTGATATCGCTATCGCTTGCATGCTTGGCGCCGAAGAGTGGGGCTTCGCGACGACCCCTCTGATTGCCATGGGCTGTATCATGATGAGGAAGTGTCATCGTAAGTGCCCATCATGCTGCAGTATCATACGTGGTAACTCATTGCGCTTTAGTGAACACTTGCCCTGTTGGTATCGCCACCCAGGACCCTCAACTTCGTGCTAAGTTTGCTGGCCAACCCGAACAAGTCATCAATTTCTTCTACTATGTTGCAGAGGATTTGCGTGCCGTTATGGCCAAGCTCGGTTTCCGTACCATCAACGAGATGGTTGGCCGTGCTGACATGCTCAAAGTTGACGAGAAGCGCCGCACTCCGAAGACCGCACACCTCGATCTCTCGGCTGTCCTCAAGCCTGCTTGGCAGATGCGCCCCGGAGCCGCCACCTATCGCGTTCGTGCTCAGGATCACAAGTTGTACATCCGCCTCGACAATAAGTTCATCGATGAGGCCGAGCCTGCACTCACCAAGGGATTGCCCGTCCACGTCGAGTGCGGTGTCACAAACACCGATCGTGCGCTCGGTACATCTCTGTCGTACCGTGTCTCGAAGATGTACGGCGAAGAAGGTCTGCCGAAGGACACTATCCATATCAGGGTGACTGGTTCCGCTGGTCAGTCGCTCGGCGCGTTCCTTGCGCCCGGTATCACCATCGAACTCGAGGGTGACGCGAATGACTACGTCGGCAAGGGTCTTTCTGGCGGCCGCCTCATCGTCTACCCGCCGAAGCAGTCGAAGTTCAAGGCCGAGGAGAACATCATCATCGGTAATGTCTGTCTCTACGGCGCGACGTCGGGTGAGGCCTTCATCCGTGGTGTCGCTGCTGAACGGTTCGCGGTACGCAACTCTGGCGCGAATGCTGTCGTTGAGGGTACCGGTGATCATGCCTGCGAGTACATGACGGGTGGTCGCGTTGTTGTTCTTGGCAGCACTGGCCGCAACTTCGCTGCCGGTATGAGCGGCGGCATCGCGTACGTCCTCGACATGGCCCACACGTTCCACGCGAAAGTCAACCAGGAAATGGTCGAGCTCGGCAAAGTAAAAGACCCCAGGGAGATCGCGGAATTGCGCCAGCTCATTGAGGACCACCGTCATTACACTAACTCGGAAGTCGCTGACCGCGTCCTCCACGACTTCCATCATTTACTGCCGCTCTTCGTCCGCGTCATGCCTCATGACTACAAGCGTGTACTAGAAGAGGGCGCGGCGCGTGCCCGGGAGGAGAAGCTGCGCCACAGCGCCATCGACCTGGTCCCGTCGCGCACCGCCAGCCAAGTCGACCTTGCTTCAGAGGGTATCCAGGACGTCCTCCTTCCTAAGAAGGAGTCTGCTATGTTAATTTCGAAGGACAACAGCAGGGCGTCTTCGAAAGCGCGCCATGAACCCTCTGTCGCCGATCTCGAAGACTCCCTCGTCGACGACATTACCACCAAGCAGCGCATGAAGAAGCTCGACAAGACGCGCGGTTTCATGAAATACAAGCGTCTCACGGAGGCATACCGTCCGCCTCGCAAGCGTGTCAAGGACTGGAAGGAGATCTCTACCCGTCTGACCGAGTCTGAGCTGTCGTACCAATCTGCTCGGTGCATGGACTGTGGCGTCCCATTCTGCCAGTCCGATACCGGATGCCCTATCTCAAACGTCATCCCAAAATGGAACGACCTCGTTTTCAAGGGCCAGTGGCAAGACGCCCTCAACCGTCTCCTCCTGACCAATAACTTCCCCGAGTTTACTGGTCGTGTGTGCCCGGCCCCTTGCGAAGGTGCATGTGTCTTGGGTATCAACGAGCAGCCCGTCGGCATCAAGAGTATCGAGTGCGCCATCATCGACAAGGTTTGCCGGGCTCCTAGCGTTCCTTCGTGCGTATGCTGATCACCTTTACAGGGCTTCGAGATGGGCTGGATGGCTCCCAATCCTCCAAAGGTCCGCACTGGTCGCAAGGTCGCCATCATTGGCTCCGGCCCTGCTGGTTTGGCATGTGCCGATCAGCTCAACAAGGCCGGCCACACGGTTACTGTCTACGACCGGAATGATCGTATTGGTGGACTGCTCATGTACGGTATTCCGAAGTAAGTGCCTCCTGTATCATTTATCCCTACCCGCTTACTCACTTTCCTCCAGCATGAAGCTTGACAAAAGCATCGTCCAGCGTCGCGCCGACCTCATGGCCGCGGAGGGCATTGTAAGTGACTTCCAATCCTTTCAACTTAGATACATCTAACTCTTGCTTCAAGACATTCAACACGAACGCCCACGTTGGTAAGGATGTAGATGCCGACCAGATTCGCGTGGAGAACGATGCTGTCGTGATCTCTACTGGCGCGACATGGCCTCGCGACCTCAAGATCCCGAACCGTGACGCAGACGGTATCCACTTCGCGATGGAGTTCCTGCAGATGAATACGAAGTCGCTTCTTGACTCTGAGCATCAGGATAACAACTACATCAACGCGAAAGGCAAGGACGTCATCGTCATCGGCGGTGGTGACACCGGCAACGACTGTATCGGTACCTCCATGCGTCACGGTGCGAGGTCTGTCACCAACTTCGAGCTTCTGCCGAGGCCCCCTGCTGGCCGTGGACGCGATAACCCTTGGCCGCAATGGCCCAGGATCTTCCGTACCGACTATGGTCACACAGAAGTTGCCGCTCACTTTGGAAACGGTTAGCATAACATCCCCACCTTATCAAAAATGTATACTTATGTGATACTTAGACCCACGCGAGTACTCCATCTCGACCAAGGAGTTCGTTATCGATGAGGAAGGCAAGCTCAAGGGTGTCAACACTGTTCGTGTCGAGTGGACCAAGGATAGCGGCGGACGCTGGAAGATGGAAGAGGTCCCTGGTTCGGAGAAGTTCTTCCCTGCCCAGCTGATCTTCCTCGCTTTGGGTTTCTTGGGTCCCGAAAACGCGGTGATCAAGCAGCTAGGCGTCAAGCAGGATGCTCGCACGAACATCCAGACTCCTGGCTCCAAGAAGTACTCCACCAATGTTGAGGGAGTCTTCGCCGCTGGTGATTGTCGCCGCGGCCAGTCGCTCATCGTCTGGGGTATCAACGAGGGTCGTAGCGCTGCCGCTGAGATCGACGAGTGGCTCAGCAATGGCCAGACTCGCCTGCCCTTCGACGGTGGCATCAAGAAGAGGAACTTGATTCCTCCCTCGAGCTCGCTCTCGAAAACCTCGCAGGTCATCGACGTCCAGGCTTAGACTCATCATGCTATCTGCGTAGAGGCCGCCAAAATGTAGTTTAGGATTTTATGGCTTGTTTGTATACTTTCGCTGGTCGCAACGTGTCCTGGATTACAAATGCGATGTATCATATGTTGTATCGGTGTAGATCTCATGCTATGCTACTGCGCTATTTTCATTCCGACCTGCTCGGCGGTGGTACTTGCACAAGCGCTGGCCGGGGACGCAAGTCCGGGTGGACACGTTGCCTGTACTGCGAGCGCGAAGCCTGTTTTGTATAGGATAGTTCGGTAGCGCATAGCATCTGCCATACTTTCGCAGCAGACCCTTGCTACAAACACGGCTTTGCCTCGGAAGTGGCACCAGCGATTAACTGCTGCCTGACTCGACTGCTGCTTGACCCGCAGGCTCGCCGAGCGATAGGGTTACGCACTCCTGCCGAGGCTATCCGCCCTCGGACTATAAAGCGGGGGAATGTGGCTCAGACAGATAGCAACAACGCATCCACAGAAATACAAACGGCAGCACAATGAACGTATACGCCATTGGAGCATCCAAGAACATCGGGTATTACTCCGCGCTTAGGCTACTAGGTGAGCGCTGGCTCGTGTCGTTATTCATGATGTAGGCTCAAGAACGCTATCATAGCGAAGGGAGGAACGGTGACATTTCTGCTTCGCAAGACAGAAGTCTTCGACGCGGACGAGACGATACAGTCCTACGTGAAGTCGGGGAAGGCGCGTCTCGTCAAAGGTGACGCTCTCGAGATCGAGGACGTCGCTCGAGGCTGGGCAGAAGCGCAGCCAGCTTCGCAGACACGACTCGTGGACGTTCTCCTCTTCACAGTCGGTAAGTCCGGGTCTTGCACAGACATGCGCAAGGGCACTCAGTGTTGGCATAGGCGGCGCTCTGCACCACTTCAGCATCATCTCGGGCGCGCACATCTTCCCAGAGGACATCTGCTCGGCCGCCATCCTGAACGTCGTCCGCACCATTCCGCCCAACCAACGCAGCCCGCCGACTCAACCCAAGCTCATCGCCTTCTCGACGATAGGTGCCACCAAGGCCTCGCATCAGCGCTTGCCCTTCGCCATGAAAGTGTTCTACTCGTGGCTGCTCACGCCGCCGCATGTGGACAAGTTCTGCATGGAGCGCGTGGCAGCATACTGTGCCGGTATGCCCTTCCCCGACGAGGGATATCGCCCGGACCTGCTGCCACAAGGGTGGAAGACACTTGAGGGCATGCCTGCGGAAGGCGCGTTCAAGAGCGTCGCGATCCTGCGACCCGGGTGGCTGACAGATGGGCCGGCAAAGGCAGACGACGAACAAAATCGAGGAAAGAAAGTGTACAGAACTCGTATTGGCGACAAGGAAGCTCTAGGATACAGCATATCGCGGAAGGATGTCTCGCACTTTGTCGTGGAAGAGGCGTTGGAGAGGTGGAGCGACTGGGAAGGAAAGCAGATCAGCTTATTTTATTGAACATAGCGATTTAGGCGCAT